TTCTAAACAACTTGTGGACCAAAGAAAATAATACATGGATAAATACACCCATACATGTCTGCAATAAATTAAAATAGGTAAGGATTGGCAAAGAAGAAATAAAACTATAACTATTCAAGACAACATGACTGTGTATACAGAAAATCAAATGTACATAAGGCTATTAGATGTAAGAACAATATGCAAAATCAATTATATTTCTATGTACCAGTTAAAAGTTAGAAAATAAAATTTTTTGAACATTCAATTTATAATTGCATCAAAATACATAACATGATTAGAAAGAAAGCTAACAAAATATATTTAAGCTCTCCACACAGAAAATTACAAAGCACTAGGAGAAATTAAGGAGGACCTAAATTTATCTACAGATCAAAGTAAATTCTAAATCTACCAGTCTAAATTCTACCAGCAAATTTTTAAGAAATTGGCCTGTAGATGCTAAAATTTTTACGGAATTAAGGGCTAAGAATAACCAAAACAATCCCAAAGAAGAACAAGGAGGGAAGACTCATTTACCGAATACCACCACTATTCTAAGTTATAGAAATTAAGATAGTGTGGCATTAGCATAGATAAGAGACCAATGGAACTTAATAGAAAACCAGAAACACATTCACACATATATATGCACACTTAATTTATGACAGAGAGGGCACTAAAGAATTGTAAGGAAAGGAGAGTTTTTTTTAATTAATGATGCTAAATCAGTTGGATATTCCTATAGAGCAAAATGAAGTTTGATACCTATTAGATTACTGTACACACAAAATTCATTCCAGGTACATTATAGATGTAATATGAAAAATACAGCTATTTAGTACATAACATAGGAGATGATCTTCATGCCCTAAAATGTAAGGAAAGATTTCTTAAACAAGAAATAAAAATAACCGTAAGAGAAATGACTAGTAAATTGAACCATATTATTAATAATACCAACGACCTATTCATCAAAAGACCATTAAGAAAGTAAAAGGGCAAACCACAGAGTTGTCTAAGATATCTGTAATATATATAACTGGAAATGGAAAGAGTCCATTTCCATAAAATATAAAAGAACTACTACAAAACAGAAAAGTCAAATGTACAAATCTAAAAATGAACATGAAACTCAAAAAGGTAGGTGGCAAAAGAGAAAATCCAAAATTTCCAATAAACTTATGAAAGAGGAATACCACTTTATCAATAATCAGGAAGGTGTAAATTTAAACCATAATGCTGCTACTACATACTGACCAGACTAAAATTAAAAAGGCTGATCTACTATTGGTGTAAGTATAAACTGATACTATACCTTAGGAATATTGTTGAGTATAATTTACTAAAGCTTAACATAAGAATATCCTGTCACCCACAAATTCCAATCCTAAATATATACTCAAATAAATGTATGCGCCAAAAATCACACACAAGAATGTTTTACAATCAGAAACTGTAAACAACCCACATCTCCATCAAATGTACGTGTGTTAAGTTAGTCAATAAAAGTTGTTTAAAAAATAGCAACTATTACTTTACTAACAAGACTGAAAATATACTCTGTATTAATCCTATCTCACAGTGAAAAATAATATAATATACAACAAAGAATATCAAAGTCTCCTTTTTAAAAGGCTTCATACACACATACACACAGCCCAAGTGTTCATTCTAGAGCTCTGTTGTCCAATACAGTAGCCACTAGCCACCAGTCACATATGGCTACTTAAATTTTAACTTACATTAATAAAAATTCAATAAAATTAAAAGTTTTGTTTCTCAAGTTGTACTAGGCACATTTGAAGTACTCACTAGCCACATATGCCTAGTAACTACTGTATTGGACAGTACAGATATAGGATGTTTCCAGAAAGTTCTATTGGACAGAGCTAGTATACAAAAAGATATATTTCAATATTATATTCATTTCATTATATTGACTCATCATTGAATTATACAACCACACTTTGTTTTTAAGAATCTATTTTCTTTTGTTCTCTATCCTAACATCTTGAATAAGAAGCGCAGTGGAAATTCTTACAAAAATGAAACAATGTATAGCACATACATCTTAAAAATATATTTAGAACTTAAAATACAGAGTTAATATTTTAAATCCTTCCCTTTGAGAAACCTACTAACCCAATGTATCTTTCTATCTAAATCTACTGCAACAATTTTCAAAGTAAATATCACAAATTGAGCTGCAGTTAGAAGTAGTCATCTATAGGATAGTGACATTATCTACTTAATAAATGATCTCATTCTCATTTTTAAAAATCAAAAACAAAATGAGCCAACACATACAAGTTGAAAGTTTTTATGAAAAGCACCTTTCATACACAGTTAACCCTGGCAAAGGCATTATATGAATAATATAAACTACTTTCTTACCAAGTTTCTTTGATCTATTATATTCTTCTTTCAAATATGAAAACACCTTTGTGTTTTTTGTTATAGACTGAAGCACTGAGGAAGGTAAGTTACACTGGTAAATTTTTGTTGCAGTTTAGTATTTATAAAGAATTTATAATGAACTGTTTATTCCCAGAACATATTTCTGTTAAAATTTTAATTCTGATTACTATATAAGTGAATATTATAAACATATTCAAGAACATTTTTCTCCTGAAACTATAAATGATATTTCTAATTAAATTCATAAACAAAAATAAACTGAAAACTGTCTCTTGATCTGAGTGCTAGTTAGTTATATAGATGTGCTCAAATTCTGAAAAAAATCAAGTTATTTACTTAAGAATACCTGCACTTCCCTGTATACGTATTATATCCAATAAGGGGTTTTTTTTCCTACTTTTTATTTTAAAATAATTAAAGATTTATAGAAAGCTGCAAAAATAGTAAAGAGATACTGCATACCCTTTACTCAATGTTCATATTTTTCATAACTGTAGTACAATATAACAGCCAGGAAACTGACATTGGTACAATGCCTGTGTATAGTTCTATGCCATTTTTTCACATGTAGATTTGTGTAATCACCACCACACTCCAGGTACAGATTATTCTATCACCAAAATCATCTCCCTCATGCTACCCCTTTATGGTCATATCACTCCTCTCCCGACTACTATCCCAACCCCTGGCAACTGCTAATCTGTTTTCCATCTCTATAATTTTGTCATTTGAAGAATGTTATATACATGGAATCATATAGTACTGTGGTCCCCAGGAATCATCCCAAAACCACACCGCACCCTCACCCCTGGTCCGTGGGAAAATTGTCTTCCATGAAACCAGTCCCCTTGGTGCCAAAAAGGTTGGGGACTGCTGATATAGGATGTGCCCTTTTGAGACTGGTTTTCTTAACTCAACATAATGCCCTTGAGATCCATCCAAATTACTGCATATATAAACAGTGCATTATTTCTAGTTTGATTCCACTGTGGTAAGAGAAAACACTCTATATGATTTCAATTCTTTTATATGTGTTGAAGTTTGTTTTATGGTCCAGGATACAATCAATCTATCTTGGGAAATATTCTGTTAGCGCTTGAATAGCATGTGTTTTCTGCTGCTGTTGGGTGCCTTGCTCTATAAATGTCGTAGGTCCTGTTGGTTGATGGCACTGTTCAGTTATTCTACATGCTTCCTGAATTTTCTGTTCCATTGTCCCATCAATTGTTGAGAGAGGGGTGCTTTAATCTCCAATCATAACTGTGGGTTTGTTTATTTCTCCTTTCAGTGCTATTACTTTGTACTTCACACACTTTGCAGTTCCTGTTTGATACATACACATTTAGGATTTGTTATGTCTTCTTGATCCCTTTTATCATTATGTAATGTCTTTCTCTGTCCCTAGTAAGTTTCTTTGCTCTGAAGTCTACTTTATCTGTTATTAATATAGCCACTCACATATTCTTTTGATTAATGTTTGCATTGCATATCTTTTCTATCCTTCTACTTTCAACCGACTAGAATGAGTATCTTATACACAGTATATAGTTGAGTTATATCATCGTATAAAAGAACTGAGGTCCAAAGAGATGAAACAAGTTTCAAAAATCACACTAAAAGGTAAAAGACCGAAACTGGAAAGCAAATGTCTTGATTTCCAGTTCAAATGCTTTTTTGCCTATACTGGTCTTGCTCTAAACATGTAAATTAATTATAAACACATATAAGAATGTTAGATGAACAGATATATTGCACTTCAGATTATTCAATATTGTATAAAATTTTGTATACATATTGTGCTTAAGCAGAATTAGCTTTACCCTAATATGGTAGCCAAATCTGCATATTAACTTTCAATAATCACTTACATTCTACATAGAGTTTTGAAAGAAAATATGATTAAAACCCATATTAGGCCGGGCGCGGTGGCTCACGCCTGTAAATCCTAGCACTCTGGGAGGCCGAGGCAGGTGGATTGTTTGAGCTCAGGAGTTCGAGACCAGCCTGAGCAAGAGCGAGACCCCCGTCTCCACTAAAAAAAATAGACAGAAATTAGCTGGACAGCTAAAAATATACAGAAAAAAAATTAGCCAGGCATGGTGGCGCATGCCTGTAGTCCCAGCTATTTGGGAAGCTGAGGCAGGAGGATCACTTGCGCCCAGGAGTTTGAGATTGCAGTGAGCTACAATGACATCACTGCACTGTAGCTGGGGCAACAAAGTGAGACTTTGCCTCAAAAAAAAAAAAAAAGATATATATTATATGCAACTAAATTCTGGGAAGGACCATGCTAAGATGACAAGGGGGATTTTTCACTTTCCTAATTACACATCTCTCATTGTTTGGATTTTCTAAATAAACATGTATTACTTTCATAAGCAACAAAAACCATAAAGACATCCCATTTGGGAAGAAATACAGCTTTCTGTAATATAACGAATTACCTCGAATTATTCTGTTCAGAAATTTATTGTTTTCCAAAATGTATCATGGTGTTTCCTAAGACAGAACACACATATACTCCTCATTTCTTCCATTCCTACACATTCCACATGCTGTCTGCCTTTCAAATATAAATAATAACTACTATCTTTACATACCTGACCGAGGAATCATCATCCTACGGTCCTGTTCCCATGGAGGTGACAGGGACCCAGTATCAGAAGGTGCCCTAAGAGGATCAGTTAACCTATCACAGTTGGATTCTCCTCTCTCGTTGGTAATCTGATGGTCCAGAGGATTCCCTGGGCCTCTTGAGCCTAATTAAAGAGAAAAACCACACAAATCTGTTTCATCTTAAAAAGTACTATAAGGCCTATCATCAAACAAAATCAAGACACTCTTAAAAAGTGAAAACAATGAGAGGCCAGAAAAGTTTCCCTAAGACACATTTAGACTACAACTCTCCTTTCAAAGCCATTTCTAGGACAAACGAAAAATAATTTTTCCATATACATAAACTCTTGTCTGTAAAATTCATTTTTAAATGTTATCACCATCATTTTACACATAAAATCAGTAGTTAAATCACAAATTATAGATACTAAGTTTGAAAAATAAAGGTGTAGAAAGTAAAGTGTTAAGATTTCTATACCAGATGTAATAACTTTAAAATGAAGTTTTTGTTGCTTAAACTAGTATGTCAATAGTAAAAATGAGCATGATTCCTTTAAAAAGTCATCTTAGATGTTATATATCTACTTCAATAATTTTGCTATTACTCAAAGTATTTTTTAGAACAACTGCTTTAAAAATCTACTCAGACTTACTTGAGAGTCATGCAAAAAATTATGTCTCAATGTTGTAACATGACTCTCTACTTCAGCCCCAAAATGACTTTAACCAATCTGATTAAAAACTTTATACCCACCAAACAAATTTGTCTGTAAATGGCTTTTAGTAATTTCTAAATATCATATTCACATTCAAAAAGAGAACTCACAAGCTCTTAAGTAAGTCTAAAACAAGAGTTTCAAAAACAACAGCACCTGGAGGAGGGGGGAAGGGAGGGGCAAAAACCTCCCTAACGGGCACAATGAACATTTTGGGTGACGGGCACACTTATAGCCATGACTCAAGCATTACAAAAGCAGCCCATGTAACCAAAAGCATTTGTAACCCCTTAATATTTTGAAATAAAAAAAAACATAATAGCATATTATCTCCAAAAAGTTTTCCCCCAAGGTCAAGTTCCCCAGAAACAAATCCTGATATTTTGAGGCTAGGAAAAAAACAGCAGCAGCAGCACTATTGAAATAAATACTTTAAACAAGATACCATTCATTTGGATAAGAAAATCAGGTATGTTTACATTTATAATGGGGGAAATCATTTTAAAGTTCCTGCCTTATGATAGTACAAAAGATAGTTCCTTAATTAAAAACTCATATTTAATTAAAATGGAAAGGACAAATATAAAAAAATATTTTAAATATTCAATAACAAAATATAGTAATACTTCAGTCCGTGGGAAAATTGTCTTCCATGAAACCAGTCCCCTTGGTGCCAAAAAGGTTGGGGACTGCTGATATAGGATGTGCCCTTTTGAGACTGGTTTTCTTGACTCAACATAAT